TGCACAGAAAAAGTGTGTGCATTGATAGTTTTGATCACATCATCCTCAACTTCACTTTTTTCTTGTTCTTCTTCCTCAACTTCTTTTTGTTTTCCTTTATCTTCATCAACTTCATTTATTTTTTATTCTTCCTCCTCAACTATTTTTTTATTTTTTCCTTCTTCTTCCTCAACTTCTTTTTGTTTTCCTTTATCTACCTCAACTTCTTTTTTATTTCCCTCTTCTTCCTCAACTTCTTCTGCTCTTTCTCCATCATCATCTACTTCATTTTTTTCTTTTTCTCTTTCTTCATATTATTTTTGAGAAAAATCTGCTTCTACTTGAGAAGAACAAACTACTTCAGATGCAAGTTCTTCTAAAAGAGTGGTAGTCGAATTTTCATTCTTCTTCCTACAAGTTTAGTCCTAGGCCTCTTTTGAATCTTTGTGTCAGTTGTTTCTTTTGTTAATACAATTTTTCTTTTGATAGGAGCCATTATATTTGTATCTACAACCACAAAAATAAAATATTTCTTAACAAAAATAACAATCAAACACAATAACACAAACAATAACGCAAACAACAAATACGATTCAATACCACACATGAACCAACCAACAAACCACAAAATCCTCCCTAAACCCTAACCAACAAACTACAAATTAAGATTTTTGAAATCAAATAATATTTCAAAAGGAATAACTATCCAACCATCCTACAAACAAATAAGTGATAAAACCACTAAAAATGTCCTGATTTAATACCAGTAAGTATTTTTCAAAACCCTAATTAAATTTTATCTGAGAAGATATCAATGATAAACTAGAAATGATGAGGGCAACGACGCCTTGTTGTAGAAGAGGATCGCAACAGATTACCACTGATGTTGTAGAAAATATCGAACAACCTTGATCTGTGAAGGAATAATGGAACGAGAAAAAGGATGGAAAGAAGAGAAAAGAAAACGGAAATTAGTAAAAATAAATTAAATTTGGAATATGAAACAACCTTTTATAGAGGATAGGAGAGAGGGAAAAATGAAGGGACGATTATTTTAAACATTTTCAATTTTTTTTTTTTTGAATTTTGACAATTCAAAGTGTGACATATATTGCCACATATACCCTTTCTGTTGGGGCACATGTAGATAATTTTGTGGTGTTTTTTTACAACAGAGGTTATATATGTTGCCACAGGCACCACATTTCTTCCTTTCCATCATAATTGACATTTATACCAACAAACTAAAAATAATATTAATAATCATTAATATTAATATTATCAGCAAAAATGAACAATTGATGACAATATAATGTTGCTACATATCTCCTTTATGTGACATATGTTACCACATATCTTCTTTATGTGCATATGTTGCCACATGTATCCTTTCTGTTGGGGAACATGCAGATAATTCTGTGGTGTTTTTTACAACAGAGGTTATATATGTTGCCACATACACCACATTTCTTCCTTTCCATCATAATTGACATTTGTTCCAACAAAAAAAAATCATTAATATTAATATTATCAGTAAAAATGAATACTTCACCAATTGTTTTATACAACTTATCAACAAAAAGGTAATTCACAATGGTATACATAACCATCAATCTAATTAATGGTGGTAACCACAACATTTTCATCGAACTTTACTTTTTTAGGTCTAGGCCTATGTGGGTCTTCATTGTTACTAACATAGCCACTCCGAGCCTTTAAAATCTCATAAGTCCATAGGAGTAAAGCATATCTCAAGCGAAGGGATTGAGAAATAATTTCATTAGATGGTATTTGTAGTCCATCACTAAAAAACTCAGCGTATGCAGCTACAAAAATTCCACAATCACTGCATGGTATATCATCAATTAGAAAATATAATAAACCTAATATTAGCATCACATTTTGATAGTGGTAAGACTAAAAATATAATGTGATACTACTTACTGACTATTGCTTGCTTGTTGGGCAATACAAGTAACATGTATGACTTCGATGGGTGAGATTTTTTCTTGCCCTAATAAGATTCAAGAACTGACCAGTTGGTTCGGTCTTTTTGCTCATAAAATCCGCTGGATTCAAGGTACTTTGACAACATTGTAGACAACTTTTGAATCTTGACGCACAATTTTCTGTTAGTCCTAGATGAGGACATCGAATCATACACCTTTATGCGTCGTTCCTTTAATACGACTGCCAAGACCCAATGAAACTCCCCATTACAATTTACAGGGACATAAATCTCATCTGTGAGTTGCCAAGGCAGTCCAGTAGGTATACCAAACCCTTTGATAATGCCAACGATTTTATTCTCATATTCAGGAACAACACTGGCATTGCCAATGTATGTTTTGAAAAAAACAATTAGTAGTGGTATATCGATATTTAGAATGACTCTGTTGCTTCGACTTCTTCCGCAAATAGTATAAAATGGCATCCACATACTGCACAGATGCATTAACAAGTGTATTTCTATATCAATTTATTTGTATGTATTCATGTCTTAATCAAAACATAAAAGTGGACATGGATTTACCTCATCAGTCCAACACTTATTGGGTTGAGACATTACGTAAAACCAGTCCTTCTTCTTTGGAAATGCAAATACAAAATTAAGTTGTTTGAACTCAAAATCCGAGCAATTGGCTAAGTAGTGATCATCCTTGTCTCTTCTGCAATTGTGTAATTATTATAAATAAATAGTTAGTGGACAACAAGAAAAAATACTAATAATAGTTGAACGACTTTACTTTTTTGCATGATGCTTATAAAGACCCTCGTTTATCCATTGCGAGAGGGATGACATTAGTTCAGTTGGACCCTCGCCGTCAATGTTAAAACTTTTAAATGGATATTGTTGCTTCACATCACAACTGACTACTTCGACTTTCTTCTCTTTCTTTTTCTCTCTCTCTTTCGCTTTCTTTTTCACTTTCTCCTTCTCCTTCTCCTTCTCCTCTTCCTCCTCCTTCTCCTTCTCCTTCTCCTTCTCCTTGACTTTTGGATTTGAGTGTAATACTGGAGCAGTAGTCATTGATTTTTTCTTTCACTAATTATAGATAGTGATTGAGAAATAGATTTTTTCAACTTCCAACACTTAAAAGGCTGTGAAATTTTTTTGGATGTATGTACATCAATATTATAAGTCATTTCCTTAAAAATATCAGTCAGTTCTTTAACATGACTAATAAAATAATCACGTTGCTGCTCACATTATTCGCATAGACAAAAAGAGCATTTGATGTTAGAAGAGGAAGCAACACCAATAAAAGATTGAGTTGTTGTCATGGATGAAGCTTCTTGTATCATTTCATCTACAAGGTAAATAAAAAAAGGTTGAGAGTTTACAATTGATTATAAAGTAATAATGGATAGCAATTTATACTTATGTTGACACAGATGGATATTCTGTTGTCACATATGTACCTTCTGTTGCCATGAATGAATCTTCTGTGGCCACATATGAATCTTCATGTGCCACAGATTAATCTTTTGTTACTACAGATGACCATTTTGTTGCCCTAACACATAGGTGATATGTTCCAGCATATGACAACTCTGTTGGAATATATACCAACATATCACTAAAATGTAGCAAATACGACACATCTTTCAACAAATGAAATATATGTTAGACAACTGAACAAAACTATATTTCTAAAATCATATGAACAAAATGGTCACAAAAAGAACAACAAAAGCAACAAAAAACGAATTTTCACTGAATGTTAACAATACATATACATTTCCTCAAAATTAGGATTTTTTTGGGTTTGTTGATATTCTTTCAAAAACAATAAATAATAGCTACCATTACACTATTATTCAATTTTCACATCTATAGAACAATTTATTATTCATTAACCCAAGAAAAAAACTTAGTATTGTTCGAAAATTATAAAATCTTTCAAAAAAATGACTTACCCATTTTAACTCGAACACAATCTTCAGTTCAGAAAAAGGAGAGAGTCACGGCCGGAGATGAGGAGGAAGATAAGATTGGGGAGAATATTTGTTTTGATAGTCGGATTTTCGGATTTTCTAAGGAAGAAGAAGAGAAGAGAGAACGTTGGGAGAAGAACAGAAAATTCTATTTTCTTTTACTTTTTTTAAATGGTTTGGATAGAATTATAAATGTTGAAAAATAAAGTGTTTTTTGTATATAAAAAATTAGAAAGTTTTAAAAATGTTAATTTGATCCCAAATTTACTTAATTACATTTTAAAATGGATTTGATCCTTTTTTGATCAAAGTGTCACAAAAAATCAAGGCGAAATGGTCTGGTTGACCCTTATACTTGTATCAGTTTGTATTATGAACCCTTCTACTTACACCTTTGTCATCTGGACTCTTAAAGTCAATTAAAATGAGACTTTTAAACCCTTCCAACCATGTATGTAACTCACTCTCCTTTATATAATTGACATGTCATATCCACGTCAGATATATTAATGCCACAACATAATTATTTCATAACTATTTTTTAAAATTATTAACCAAAATTATTTAATAAAATGTAAAATAATAACATTTTAATTTATTTTTGGCATTTTTTAAAGTGAAATCCATACATCCGACTCTCCCAATTTTCACTGTTTCACAACCAAAATCAACTAGAGAAAGTCATCGTCATCGTCCTCACCATTTTTACCGGCGAAATCACATATACTTTCTCCCTCACCTGTCTTCATCTCCGCTGCACACCATCACTATTTTTCTTTGCTCCTCCAACCTCCACAAAAACAATAACCTAAGTCACCGCACCACCAGATCTGGCCAAAAACCCTCCTCACCGCCATGACCGCACCCTCACCCACCATGTTCTCCTCTCCACTAACAGTTAGAAAAATTTGTTATACAAATTTGATAATCATACTCATTTCCTTTATGATTCCAAACCGATTCGATTGTTCTTCTACTGATTTTGTTTGCACTGGGTTCCACCGTCACCTGGACAAATAAATTTGATTGCGGTGAATTTCTTCAACATTTGGTTCTCTTAAGCATTTTGGCCAACAGGTTCTATGCAAAGAGAGGGATCGAGAGTGAAGAAGGAGGTTTGCTCTTGTTTGCGAGCTCGACTTGTAGAATCCCTCATTCAATCAACTCAGGATCTTCAAGTTTCTCCAGTCGTCAAATACTCAGCGTTGTCACTTTTCGCCAACCGATTCTACCCATCTCTTACCGGAGCAGGAACTAAGGATGCTAAGAGTTGGCTTTTACAGCCCCTGAGAAAAAGCAATTTGCAGCTATTTGTGCTTGTTGCAATATGGATCTCAAGCAAAATATATGATTCTTTTTCTCTAAGTGTCAAATATTTCAAGTCTCTGGCTAACAACACCATTAAAGAGCAGCATTTTACAACAAAGGATTTTCTGAAAGCTGAGCTAGTGTTAATGCAGGTATTGAAATTTGAGATCGGCATGTTAAGCATTCCCTTCTGTTTTTTCGAAGATCTACTTACAAAGTTCAGTGAAGTTGCCAGAGTTGGAAAGCAATTAAGCTTTGGGGAAGAAGAAATGACTTTTTAATTAATTGTTTTTTTAAAAAAATCTTTAATGGTCGGCAATAGATGTTGAAGAAACTTCTGGGTTTATGTGCTCAAATATTAATTTCACTTTCTTTTTCTTTCTTTTTTTTTAGATTATTTCTATTGTTTTGTTTTATGTTTTTCCTGCTGACTCTTTGTTTTCTTCTAGCTGGGTCGTTTTTAGACCTGCTATCCTGCATTTATTTTGATTTTTAATATAATAGGCCATATGGCCATTTGAGTTAAAAAAGAAAATTTACCTAAAAAATTATTCACTCGCCTTAAGGTGCGTGAAGTTACACACTTTCGCCAACTCAGCCATCTTAAAGACACATAAGTTTGGTCAATGGTCAGAGGAATTTGTTAAATTGTGTTTTATTAAGTTTAAGGGTCCAGATGACAAAAGAATAAGTAGAAGGGTTTAGAATACAAACGGATACAAGTATAAGGATTCACCAAACCATTTCGCCAAAAACCAAAGCAAGACTTAATTGACACCTTTCATTTAATTGTCTCAAACAAGAACCAAAACAAGCAATGAAATGAAAAGGGAAAGGAAAGAGACGAAACCAGTGGCAAGGGACAGGGTGAGCCGAATTATTCACTCGGCCGTCAGACTCTAGTCAAAATGCATTCGCTTTGAGGGGGGGGGGGGGGGAGAATCTGTCATTCCGACGAAGAGATATGAAGAAACTTAGGTGGGCTATGGACTCCGGAGGATTTTGGGAATTGGACTTGTCGACTCCAATAACTCTCAACGGCCAGGCCCGGCCAGTTCCTGGCGACCCATTGCCCTTGGGGTTATCTCGCGGTTCGAGGCTTTCAAGGTTCGAACAAATCGATTTCTTTCAGCGTTTCATGGCCATGCCTTTCGTCCCTTCTTTCGCCGCCAACAGGGGCCTCTTGCTTCAACGGGTTCTTTCTCTTCCTATTGCTGAAAACTGGTATGTATGCTTTATTGATGAAAATAGTGTAGTTTCCCAATGAACTTGTTATGTTAGTTACAATCTGTTGAAGTAGTTAGAGGCAGTTATCAAATTTATTCTTTTCCTATTCTCTGTGAAATCCCTGTGTAGCTGCTAAAATCTCGACTTATTCATTGAATTCCTTCAATTTAGTTTACTTCTGCTTCATTATCTAAGTTGAAGTTAGCAATGATGTGGTGTTTGAACTATTCAGTTTTTTTACCTAAGCACCTTCTGAACAGGTGTGGGGGTTCCTCCACTTCCCCATTTTCCCCCTAGGTGGATACAACTGATCTTTTGTCTCTTATAGACATCAGAATAGTGTTACATTTTAGAGATGTCATTTCTGGTTTTCAGGGACTTTAATGCGGTTATACTTTATTTGGTATTCAACTATCATCTTGTTGCTAGTTCAAATTCTATTTCGTGCTTGCAATGTGAAGTTTCTGCAAAACTATAGTTCACTAATCCTCAATCATGCAGGTCTGCTATGCTGCTTGGTCAGTTAAATGTCCAGAGATTTGTTTCTTCTCTAAGAAAAAATAAAACTAAGCATCTGCCAGACTCCTCATGGCTTCAATCCATTAGAAGGAACTTTATCCAAAAATCCTTTTATGCCCTCATATAACATACACAATTTCCACAAAAAGAAACTATGTACTTCACCTCTTATCGTAGTAGGTGTTCTCACAGAAGCAGTGTAGGAAGCCTCTTTCGCAATGCTCTCCCATATTCTAGTTAAATCTTCCTTCAAATCTGCTCGAGTTCCTTTTAATCCATTTGATGAGTTCAGAGTATATAATTTTGAATACATGGCCACTTTTTGAACTCCTCTAGTATTCTGTATAATTCACTCACTATGGTGTCCCTATCCATATAATGTTAATCAAATCTCATACTACAATCAAATTCTTGTTCACTTAGCTTATGTACTTTAGGAGCCAAAGATAAGCGACTAAAAATACTTTTCTGGAATTTCTGGAATCAAAATGAACTACTTTTGTTGATATGTTGTTCTCGTATTCATCATTAACGAGGACTATGGAATGATCATTTTGTTGTTCACCTAGATAGTTTAATTATTAGAGAGCAGGCTGAAACTCACTTGAATCTGAGTTCCCCATTTTAGGCGTGGTAAGTGTCTGACAAGGAAGTTGGTGATTCAAATCACTCCTACAGTTGCTCTTATCAAATGCTGGACACTCAAGCTTTCTATGCTTGAATGGCTTATCAGTTGAATTCTTAGCCACTATAGTTTGAGAACTGTTTCCTTGTGCATTCTTAAGGACTGTGTATTTATTAGCATTTGTCTCTTATTCTTTGTTTAATTTAATAGTAGTCTGTTCTGAAGCTCAATTTTTCTCCCTCATGCGCTTGAAATCCACCATTTTGGTCGCTGCCAGAATAAGGTTCATGGTTTCTTCAAGAACCTCATTTGTACTTTCATTGAGAACTCTCATCATTGAATCAACAGCAGTCTCATCTGCATCATTCTTGACAATTGTAGCATGTTTTCCTGACCTATTAGTTTCACCAGATCCATCATTTCGAATAAATGGTTTACGATTCAATGGCTATTTTGGTACAGTCTTCTAATCCTCGTATAACAAGTCCATGATTTCACCAACTGTTGTATCCATATAATGTTCATCAAAGCTCATACTATAATCAGATTCTTGTTCTCTTAGCTTAATATACATTAGGAGCCAAAGATAAGCAACTTAAAACACTTTTTAATGGAATTTATGCAATTAGAATGAACAACTTTTATTGATCTGCTAATCTCGTATTAATCCTTAACGATGACTATGGAGTGATGATTTTTCTTGTATCCACATGATGAACAACTTCTATTGATCTGTTTTTCTTGTATCCATATAATGTTCATCAAAGGATTTCACGACAAGAAATTTTCTTTGTTTAATTTAATAGTAGTCTGTTCTGAAGCTTGATTTTTCTCCCTCATGTGCTTGAACTCCACCATTCTGGTCGCTGCCAGAATAAGGTTCATGGTTTCTTCAAGAACGTCATTTGCACTTTCATTGAGAACTCTCATAATTGAATCAGTAGCAGTCTCCTCTGCATCATTCTTGACAATTGTAGCATGTTTTCCTGACCTATTAGTTTCACTAGATCCATCATTTCAAATAAATGGTTTACGATTCAATGGCTTTTTTGGTACTGTCTTCTGATCCTCACATAACAAGTCCATGATTTCATGAACTTTTGTAATCATATAATGTTCATCAAAGCTCATACTATAATCAGATTCTTGTTCTCTTTGCTTAATGAACTTTAGGAGCCAAAGATAAGAGACTTAAAACACTTTTTAATGGAATTTCTGGAATTAGAATGAACAACTTTTGTTGATCTGCTATTCTCGTATAAATCCTTAACGATGACTATGGAGTCATAATTTTGTTGTTCACATAGATAGTTTAATTATTAGAGAGGGGGTTGAAACTCACTTGAATCTGAGTTCCCTGTTTTAAGCGTGTCAAGTGTACAACCTAAAGATTCTTTATATTGGAGTCTCAATCGAGTTAAGTAATTGTTTTCTTTCATTAATTTGTTACATGTCGTTAATCTACACATCTGTTAACATCACTTATTTACTAGACTTTGGAGTCTTTGAACAATCAACTAAAAATAGTCCACCAAGCTCTATTTTTTACAATAGACAAGTCAATTTGAATGGTCATTTTTGTCGTTGTCTGGTCAACAAGGAACTACTAGCTTTTTAAAAAAAATATTGAAATCGCGTCAAAAAATAAGATTATCATAGAAAATAATCATAAATGATAGACAAGAATGAAAGCATGAGTGAAAAGCTAAGGATATCCCGAAGAAAACCTTGAAGTTCTTAGAAAGACATTCTAGCTATTTTGCTTTGTATATGGTGTTCTTTTTTGTATTTTTTTTAAGTTTTCTCCTTTTAGTTGTTCAAGTTTGGTATGTCAACATATTGGCAGGAAAAATTATATTTGTGTCATTCTTTGTCATATGATAGTATACTACAATTCATTAACTGAACAAGTAGCTAAGGTCCACTAGGAAGTGCGATCTTAGAGTTCAACTTAGTTGTGTAAAACTAATTGTAACAAGTTGTGCGCATATTTTGAGTTTTATTTTCCTTTATTTTTCTAAATCTTATTTTTTTGTATACTATAAGGTATGTCACCTAGTAAGCAATGGATGCAACTTGTTGAAAATTGACTCGATGAAATCTACTTAGAAGGTGTGCAGAAGTTTTTGAATTATGCCTTTTAAAGAACAGGAGAAGAAAATGAAATACGATGTCCATGTATCAAATGTTTCAATACAATTTTTGGAACTCGTAAAACAGTTGAGACACATTTGATAGTGTATGGAATAATTTGAAACTATACTTTTTGGTATCATCATGGAGAACGTTTGGGTGAGCCATTGTCAGAATCAAATTCAGAATCTAATGATGAAGATTGTAATGTTGTAGAAGAATGTGAGAGTGAGGATGAAGTAGAAGAATGGTTGAGAGATTTATATCCTAATCTTAATGGAGGAAGTACACACACAGATTGTGATGATTTACTAGAGGAGGAACCAAATGTTGAAGCAAATTTTTTTTCCAGCCTATTGAAGGATTTTGAGCATCCACTGTACCAAAATTCAAAAGCTTCAAAGCTTTTCTCTTTGATCAAATTGCTTCATAACAAAAGTATGGGTCGTTGGAGTAATGCGTCATTTACAATGTTATTGAAATTATTGAAAGAGGAGTTGTTGCCTGATGACGCTAATTTTCGAAACTCATATTATGAGGCAAAGAAGATAATTAAAGAACTTGGGCTTTCTTATGACAAAATTGATGCTTGTACTAATGATTTCAAGTTATATTGGAAGGAGAATAGCTTACTCGATTCTTTCAAAGTTTGTGGTGCGTCCAGATGAAAAATAAATACACATAGTGGGGAAACAAGTAATAAGAAAGGTAAAAAGATAGCTTCAAAGAGCTTACGCTATTTTCCCTTAAAGCCTAGACTTCATAGGTTGTTTATGTCTACAAAGACATCTACTCTAATGACATGGCATAAGGATGAAAGAGTTGATGACGAAATACTGAGGCACCCAACTGATTCAATGGCATGGAAGTCATTTGATGAAATTCATCCTTCATTTGCACTTGACCCTTGTAATGTTCAACTTGGACTTGTTAGTGATGGATTCCAACCATTTTGGAATTCAAAAACCTCACATAGCATTTGGCCTGTGGTTATTATTCCTTATAATTTACCACCTTGGTTGTGTATGAAACAAGAAAATTTCATTTTGTCAATGATTATTCCTGGTCCAAATGGTCCTAGAGATGCAATAGATACATATCTCCAGCCATTAATAGAGGACTTGAAGGAGTTGTGGGAAGTTGGTATTGAGACTTATGATGCATTAACTAGACAGAATTTTAAGTTGCATGCTTCTTTGTTATGGACCATCAATGACTTTTCAGCATATGGAAACTTATCTGGATGGAGTACAAAAGGAAAATTGGCATGTCCATGTTGCAAAGAAGATACTTCTTCAATTCGATTGACTAATTGTAAGAAGTAGTGTTTTATGGGTCATCGTCGTTACCTTCCTCTTAGTCATAAATGGAGGAAGGAGACGAAGACATTTGATGGAAACAAAGAGGAAAGGCACCAAAAATATGTTTTGGTATTGAGATACTTGATCAAGTGCAAGATCTTGAAGGGATTCAGTTATCAAAAGATCCAAAGAAAAAGAAGAAGATTTCACATGAAAAACGGCAGGATAATTGGAACAAGAAAAGTATCTTTTTTGAACTTCCATATTGGAAGTGTCTCTTACTGCGACACAATTTGAATGTTATGCATATTGAAAAGAATATATGTGATAATATTATGGGTTCAATAATGAATGTCAAAGGAAAGACCAAGGACACAATTAAAACATGGTTAGACTTGCAAGAAATGAACATTAGGTCGGAATTGCATTCAATTCAAAATGGGGAGAAAATTGAAGTTCCAACTGCCTGCTACACATTGTCTCTTGAAGATAAGCACAAATTATGCCTTTTCTTAAAAAATCTAAAGGTTCCTGATGGGTTTTCATCTAATATTACTCAATGTGTGAACCTAAAAGATCACAAGATATCTGGATTGAAAAGTCATGATTGTCATGTTCATCTTCAACATTTACTCCCTCTTACACTTCGTGGTATGTTGTCTAAAGAAGTGTGTGAACCACTTATTGAGTTATCAATATTTTTTAGTGTTCTTGGATCAAAGGAGTTGAAAATTGATAGCTTGAATCATATTGAAGCTCAAATTCCCATAACACTTTGCAAGTTAGAAAAGGTCTTCCCTCCTTCAATTTTTGATGTCATAGTGCACTTACCTATTCATTTAGCTAGTGAAACTAAGATTGCTGGACCGATTCATTATCGGTGGATGTATCTTGTTGAATGATGGTTGTATATTTTGAAATCTCTTATTGGTAATAGGGCATGTACTGAAGGTTCTATTGCAGAAGGCTATATTGCAATTGAATGCATGACTTTATGTTCGAGGTATCTGCATAGAATTGACACAAAGTTCAATCAACCTGAAAGAAATTTTGATGGTGGTTTAAAAA